CTCTTGGACCCAGTTGGCCCACCAACAGTCTTCGCCAGCTTGCCGACGCTCTCTAGCCGCTCCACAACCTTCGCCTTCTCTACCAAGGCTGAAAACTCCGTGATGGCCATAAGCACCACCACTCTCCTCAAATCATACTTCAAGCCTTCAAAATTTTATTTTTTTTTAAGGGTAATTTAGACATTTTATATTTTTTTTAAAAAAGGGGGTGTGTTGATACGAGAGTGGAGGTGTGTTTAACATTGTTTGCGTTGGGAAACATTTGGGTCTGTTTTCTTTTTACAGAAGAGCTTCGGGTCTTCTAAAGCATACCAATTTGAACCCAAAACAATAAGATCAGTTCAGTTCAAGAAGTGTAACTAACGGACGGCTGAATTATGCACACGAGCTTTATTTAGAGAACTTGTATTTATACAATATATTATATATTGTTATTGTCGTACAAAAGCTACCCTTTATTTTTAAACAATAATATTATATAATAGTGAGTGATTATTAAAATATAAGTAATTATTAAAAATATTGGCAGTTATATAATGAAATTTATATAAAAGAATAAAAAAATTATAATTTATAAAAAAATATTTCTAAAAGTAAAATTATTTAAAAATGTGAATACTAAATAAGACAATATTTTAAATTAATAATCAATGGGTCGAAATACTTCATATCTCTATATATTATTTAATATAAATATTTAAAAATTATTAATATTTAATAAATCAATTTATCTTAGTCTTGAATTTAAGTATTATCTTTGTAAGAATAATTAAATTTAAATATTATTTTTTTATTATTTAAAAATTTAAAAATAATTTTTTTAAAAAAATATATACATCAAATAGGACAATCCTCTTTATTATATGTTATAGATATAAATAAAAAGTATTGCAAAAGGAATGAGCAAAATAATTTCTTTATCTGTAAAAATTATTGAAATTAATTTTTGTCAAAAGATGCATCTCAACTAATTTTACATTCATGTTTTATGAAAATTACGTCAAAAAACTCTTTGAACCAATTGGAATCTTTTCCATTCTTTAATATTTATTTATTATCTAATATTAAGGTTTTTAGTGTATAAAAATTATTAATATTTTCATGATTAACATTTAATATCTTTATACATTTAAAATTATAAAAATGTACGAAAAAAATATTAGAGAGAAGAGAATAAATTGTTTTAATCAACCATTAAGGTGGGAAAGGATTGAAGTAATTAGAAACATGAAACTTAGGTTTAATTTTCATTACGACCAGTTTTGTTATTTTTCATATCTTTACAAAAAATTTTTTTTGTTTTAATCTATATATTACCAAGACTAATTTTATATTTAAAAATATTCTTATTTATTATTTTTTATTTAAAAATTGACTATTTTTTTATTTTATATATATATATA